ATGGACCAGAATGTCCAGGTCAGACATCTTTATTATTGATTGTCTTGACGAACATATGGATCAGAATGCCCCGGTCAGATATCTTGACTATTGACAGCTGGTGCTTCGACGATCATATGTTCCAGAAAGTACACTTTGTACAAGTCAATAAGTGTCTGTTTATTGACGATCACGTGTTCTAGAAGATACAGATCAGACGTCTTGGTTGACAGGCATCACCTGAATTTGTGTATAATTTAGTTTTAAAGATGCCACCGGACAAATGACGGCCTCCATAGTCAATGCATTCAGTTAGTCAATTTTTGATGTATGTTCAACTCGCTGAAGCATATTGACGGTTATTTTGGCGATGGCTTGGCGTATGTTGTTCTTCAAATGAGGTAGAGTCCTTGGACAGTGATTGTAAACAACTGATTTAAGATAACTACATAAAAAAATCATACGGAGCCAAATCGGGAGATCGGGCGAGCAAGGTAGAGTACGGAATGCTCGTTAGGTAACGATAATGGAACGGCCATTAGAAAAGTACGCCTCGACAGCAAATGCACACTGCTCACTTGTCCAATGCATCGTGGGAACTGACTGATTAGGCGGGACACAAAACTTCATGACCTGGCATTTTGTATGTGATATTCTGCGTTTTTTTCCTACAACATCTGACTGCTTGGCATGAAAAATAATATAGAAAGTTTCCGTGGATCACCCTGTATCGTGATTAGCAAAAGTTTCTTGACTGCCATAGGTAACTCTCGTGTACAGATCGTTACCGATTACAGTAGAGATGCCTAATGAACTACTAAGTTTATTTTTATTTAAAATATTGATTATCGTCCCTATTTGGATCCTAGTTTATATGTTTGAGTGGATTCACTAGCATCATGCACCATTGCTGCTGTCATAACCGAGAGACTTAATCATTGATATATTACGGTCTAAATTAATAATCGATATCTTTATGTGTTAATCATATTAAGATGCTAAACATTCTTCCCCTCAGGTATCAGTTAATCATTGATTAATTGAAGTTTTAGTCATCGATCCCCTTAGATATTAATCATAATTATCAATCTCCTCAGGTTTATCCCGGAGGCCAAGTCCCGCTCATCAACGAGCCATCGAAACAAAAGACGTCGATCCAGGAGCAGTGGGAGCGCAACGGGCAGTTCGAGCTCACTAGCATTGAGCAGGAGACATACGAGCGTTATTTCTACGGCAGTGAACATTGGAACTATTTTACCCAGGACGATGACTTAGGTCCTGTCATACTCTCCCTCAAGCAGGAGACCACCAACGGCAGGGACCAGTTTAGGTGAATACCGTCTGATGATCTTTAATATTATTCATGAGTATTTTGAATTTCCGTGAATTTTTAATTTGAAGTATTATCACAGCATTGCGTTGATCATTCACATTGTCAATGGTAAAGGCATCGAATTTTAATTCACATGTTAAAAAGGCATAAAATTTGAATTTTTTTCAAAATGAAAAGCTAACTTGTGTAGCGTGTAAAACAATCACTTAAGTAGGTTCTTGACTTTAAAACAATGCGGTGGTGGTGGTAACATTGATTGGCGGGGTTCTGCCAATCAATTTAATACGCTCATGATCTTAATACACTGACGCAGGATCATGGTACGCATAATCTCTTTTATACACTAATGGCTTTAATACACGGCCGCAAGATTATGGTGTGTGCGATCTTTTAATACGCTCATGACTTTGATACACTGTCCTTAATTGTTGGTGGAAGGATCATAAAGCACACAATCTTATTGATATGCTCATGACTTCAATACGCTGCTTTAGGATCGTGGTGCACAAAAGTTTTTTATGCGTTCACTAGTTAAATTCACTGCAGCAGAATAATGATGTACCATCTTCTTTCGTTCACGACTGCAATACACTGCAGCAGAATCATGGTTCTTAAAATATTTTTAATACGTTCACGACATTAATGCATTGCGGCTGAATCATAGTGCACCAATTTTTAATACGTTCACGGCATTATTACACTGCTTTAGGATCATGGTGCTTAAAATATTTTTAATACGTTCACGACATTATTACACTGCGGCAGGATCATGGTGCACCAACTTTTAATACGTTAACGACATTAATACACTGCGGCAGGATCATGGTTCGTGGCATCTCATACACGGTGCACGGTATGGTGCCTGATGGCGTGTTTCTGATGGATGAATGGCTTGAGTAAATGATCCAATTGGGATTCACGTGAGAGTGCTGGGTTGCGTGAGTGATGCTTCTCTGGTGGTAATGTCATGTATCACCTCGATGTGACTTAGTTGTTATAAGAACACCTAAACTGAAATAGCGAGTTGGGGTTCGAAAGCTGCAACTAGCTGTGGAAATTCTTGTCGAATTCGGTAACGGGCCAGATGGTTGAGAATCATCAGAGCTAGGGCCAGCATGGCCTAATCAAAGATGACCCTTTTATATCATTATATATCATTTTATGTTTCGGGGATCTTTGAGAACATGGATTTATTATCGGAAATTGCTGCAGGGTTCCCTTTTGCAGTATCATTATCATTAAATTATTATTATTAAACGTTGTAACTATCCTTAGTGATCGACGAGTGTGGTGTGGTTGACGGTGTTTGCATCAGGACTATGACATTATATAACCTTTTCGTCTGATTCTCTTGAATTTACTTTAAACGTTTTTGTTGTTGGAGCGTAATAAGTTTGAATAAATATCACACATCTTCGACCAGGTCAGCGGTTATTACATTCAATTTATCATTCATACGATACTTATCGTGTTTTATAGTTAATAATTACAACATTTCTCTTTAACTTCAATTCTTGTTTTTCTGTCTGTCTGCTACAAATTTATAATCTAAATTTAACACACTTCTACTTATCCTATCGATCTGGGCCTATACTTTAAAAAAAAAAAATTAAGAGATCGTAAGTTCATCAGCCAATCGTTGACGGCCTTTCAAGCCAAATCCACCAATCATTGAGAAGAAAATAGAGCGTAAGTACCCACGTTCACTTAGCGAGTTTTGAAAGTATGGCCCCTGAAATTTTGCACACTTTCGTAAAGTTGGAGGCCATGCAAGAATCAAATGACAAAATAAATTAGTTTAAAAATTAAATTTTTTTTGATATTAAAAAATTGAAAAAATAATTTTTTCAGCTACAAATCTTATAACTGATATTTGGCACACTTTTACCTATCCAATTGATCTGAAATTTTGCACTCTTGTGTGAAGTCGGAGGCAATGCATGAATCAATTGACAGAAAAAATAATTTTGGAAAAAATTTATATATTAAAAAAAATTGAAAAATTAATTATTTTATTATTCGAAAATAAAACGAGAAATTCACTGTACATCTTTAACATTGGAGACACTGGATTCTTTAGAAGTGATGTCTTTGAAAATTAATTTTTAAACTTATATTTTTTATGTATTATATTCGCAAATGAGGCGGTACAGTTAACGTAGTTGCATATTATATATAATAGTTACGAGTGACAGGATTAAAGGCCTTTGGGTTGTGAGTGGTATAATTCAGAATTCAGTCACAAAGACGCATTCGATAACCATTAATGACATATTTAATGACCATTAATGACGAATTCGATGACCATTACTGACTTAATGCGCATTCAGTGACCATTGATGACAAATTCGATGACCAGTAAAGACGAATTCGATGACCATAAATGACGCATTTGATGAGCATTAATGATGCATTCGAAGGCCTTTAATGACGCAACCGATCAATATTAATGACATTTGAATGCCTATTGGTAAATGGACAGCGGTATAAGATTTAGGAGGCCGAGGAACGGTCATCCTTTTCAAACGCAGGCCCATATTCTTTAGTTATTTGATGTTTATCAACATAATATGGTTCATTGTGGATATTGTCAGAAATTTTATTACTGCATTTTCGCCAGCCTTTGTTGTTTCGGAAACGCTAGCAGTTTACAGTGCATATTTCAGAACAGTGGTTTGTGCTTGCAGTAATATAAATCGGATGAAGTTTCATGTTTCTTTATTTCGCTAGAAGAATATGTTTCAGGCATTATATATATTTTTCTAGAAGGAAGTATATATGTTTCAGACATTTTATGTTTCAAATATTGTCATAAATTATCGGTCGAAACGTTGGTCTGTTTTTTTTTTTTTTACATTTGCGTTCGCATTTTATGTTCAAATATTGGTTTGTGTTTTTTGTTTCAAACCATTGCCTGAGTTTTCTGTTTCAGGCAATGAGTTTTCTGTTCCAGACAGAAAACTCATTACTCATAACAACAATATAACAATATAAACTCAACAATAATTTATGCCAATTCCTCCCTGGACTTTGCCATTAATACGAGAAGTTTTATTTTTTTAGGGAGCAAAAATCCTTAATTTTCGTTTGCCACCAACCCGTCGGTCCAACAATATGGTCAAGATGTTTGTCGTTCCATTCATGGATGTTTGTTGAGACCATTCATGGAACCTTATTAAAAAACTTAGATGTAATATGGGCGGCAAGTTAATAATCGACCTTCGAACATGGAACCTCAGCGCCCAAAAATAACTTTTTGACTTAACGAAAAATACACACATGTCCAGCAGTTTAATGGATGTTATGCCTCAACCTTTACGACCATATGACCCATGACGCAGTTCGTAGTGGCGCTTGTTATTCCGTCTGTGACGTCGTAAAGTTCGACGGCGCAGCCAGCGTACCGGACTTACGACTGCGTCGTATGACGCAATGGGCCGTTACGACGTCGTGATTGCAAGCCTTTTATTGCTCATACGTTTGATGGCCTGTGACTGCGCCAGCACTGAGCGAGCGGTGGAAATTTTCCCTGCTTTATGTGAGCTTTTGAAGTTATCAAAACCGATAGGAAGAGAGCTCGATATCATCGTAACCCGCACCGTGTCCAAATTTGCTGAGCTCAAATATATTAAATTGCTTAAATAACGTTTCGTGAGCGAAACCGGTTCTGTTAGTGTTAGTGTTCTGTCTCAAACCCCATGATAGGGCTATTAAAACCCCTCGATGGAGCAGTTGTTAACCTAAAACCGAGACATTTCAAATCACGATTCTCATTATTAACGATTCCCATCATTAACCCAAACTTATTCGTATCGTACAGGTGTTCATCAAAAGCGAGCTTAAGGTGGGTGTGGTGTACGTCAAAGAGGGCCAGTACACAGAGGAAGAAATACTCGACAACAACGAGAGCAGCGTCCTCTTCGACGAGTTCACGCAGATCCTGGGCGACAAAATCCGATTGAAAGGTCAGTGTCGTTTTTGTAATGCTGCAGATAGACATGCCAGTGAAATGTCAAAGCCTACCGTATTGGTTATTCTGGGAAGCGCATTACATTGCAAGGTCTGAGCTGTTCGTATTCGTTATGCTGAAGAACGTAAAGCTATTGAAATGTCAAAGCCTGTAGTATTAGTGATTGTGGAAAGCACATGGTAATGAAAGGTTTAAATCTTTTGTATTTGTGATGCTGCAGAACGTACGCGGGTGAAAGGTCAGAGCCAGTCATATAGGTGATAATTTAGAACATATGACATTGAAAGGAGATATATATACATTTATTTATACATATAAATGAATATTTATAAGATAAATAATCGCAATTAATCGAGCATGCGTATCGAAAAATATGCGTGTTGGAGTTTGTACTCACATTGCCTGCATTTATTCCGCTAGGATTTGTCATATGTTGCACCAAGGCGACATGCCAGCGTCTGAGCTGGGTGAGCGTATGGTAGCCTGACCAGCTGTTTATTTCAGGCGTCATTCCACCCTTATGTTTTTGTTAAAAAAAAAATCCTAAAAAGGTTCTTAGCTACCGGCTGGAGACAGGGCGTTGCGGATTCACGTCTGCTTTTCAGTCAAATATGGCGGGTCTTTTCCGTCACTAAACAGTTTCTAAATTTAGATTTGGGTGTTGTTAAGCACGGATGAAGAGCTGCTGGAGCGGTCTGATTACTGGGATCGGGAATTTTCAGTCATTTATGCGCCCAATCTCTTTTATCACACAAATAACCGACTGCTAAAAAGTTTGTCGTCCTTATTGTGCGACGAATCTTTCGCAAAGAACTCTAATTTCATCCGTACCAAATGGCCGTTGCTCAAAAACTGACTGAACAGTGAACAAGATTTTGTGGCCCACCAAACTGCATGCAGAGTTGTCCTTCTAAACCCACGACGCGGTAACATTTTCCAGCGACAAGGTTCACTCTTATCGTAACGGGTGAGTAAAAAAAATCCTTTCCTGGAGTGCTGACAATCCTTGTCAATTTTACCGATGCACTCTCTGTGGTGAACGTTGTTTCTTCTGGTGGGCAATTTTGACTGTTCAAATCATTGGTCGTTATTGTTTGAAGAGAGATGATGCGTTGTAGCGGTGAATTCTGCTCGATATAGGAGATGATAAGAAGAATTTATCTTTCAAAATCTGAGAATAATGGACGTTGGGATGTGAGCTTTCATAAAAGAGGGAGCCACGGCCCATCCAGCACTGGCCTTGATGGAGGCACGGCCTACGCAGCTCAGCTAGGCCTCGTTGGAGGCAAGGCCTACACAACACGGGCTTCGAGGGAGAAACGATCGTCTTTTGTTAGCACTCTCTCTAGATTTGATTTTGTTCCAATTGAAATATATGACTTATATAGTTAAAAACGGAAATTCATGGACTACAGCTCACCTGACGACAATCGTTCGGAATGCTATCGCAGAAATATCATACATACAGAATATGTGACATCAAGAATATTATTGATTTGTTCCTTAGACCTTCAAAAAAATGCAATTCTTTCACTCACATAGAACTTTTCTCAGTTCAATTTATTGGTATTTGTTTTTCAATCAACGAGTCTGCTTTTGATCCCACCCTCGGGTCTTGCCCTCGGTGATTACGCCGTTAACGAGGTGATGGCTTCAAGTGATTTCCCCTCAGGAAAATACACGTGTATGCTCACTGTCGCGGTGAGGGTGAACTCTAGTATGTTGTGTAAATACTGTATTCGCATACATTGATGAATTTATTGACTTTAAAGGGATTCAGGACAATAATATATCGGAAACTCTGCGCGTGAAATTATTCATCACGTCGAGTTGTTTGCGATGAAAACTCTCTACTTTGATTTTCTCTTGATGTGAACGATTAAATAACATCATCAGAAGTCTAGTGTTTATGATGAAGATTGGATTCGTGGCTCGTTGTATAATTGTGTCTCGTGATATAAAGTTCGTCGAAAATTAAATTCTCGGTTCTATACTACTAGCCACTTCTTCATTTAATCACCATCGTCAGATAAATGTTGATTTATTATTAAAGTATATTGATTGTTTTAAGCTATTGTCATGACCAATTTTCGCAATTAAGCATAAGAAAATAAAAAAACTCCGGAGTAAATATAGTCTTCCAGTAACCGAAGACACGGTATATATAGCTGGGGTAAATAAACTGGATTACGAGAATACCGTTACTTATGATAAATCCTGTCATTCAGTGCCCCGTCAATCCTATTCCAGTCAATAATTTCGACGTTAAATTTGAACTCAGTGCTTGAAACTCGAAAGATGCTTTTTTTTAATAAAATTTACGGACACCAAATTAAAAACAAATTCAAAGTTTTTAGCTTATATGGCCTAAATTTTTAGTTCGGAAAAGTATTAAAATTTTAGCCATTTCTATAATTTCTATTCCCTTTATATAAATACATTTTTTTTATCCAAATAGTACCCGACGCAGTCCAGCAATTGTGTAATTACATCATTTCTTTGCTAAAATTGCAAATTAATCTAGATTTTACATGGTTAGAACTATAGTAGTGCAGGTTCTGAAGCTAGCTGGCGAGACTGAAACTACATGGTTAGGGAGAAATTGAAACAAGATACAAGCTGGGTAAAAGTCTTCAGTGGAATAATCGGCATAAAAGTTACATAGTTACAACATAGAATTCGTTCTACATTTTAAGAAAGTCGGATTATTGAACTAAGTGATTTGAGTACGGTCGCTTCACAATTTTCTACAAGAGCATGGCATGAAAATTCTTCATATTTTCATTGAAAACGTTTTCAATAAAAATTTGGGGAATTTGTGTAGTATTTTCTTTGTTTTTAAATTCTTTTTCAATTACAGGGCAAATGCATTTTGATACCATTTCCGGTCCAGTCTTCAAAGTAATCTTCACAAACTGTCAAAAAAATATATGTAATAAGGCTGAACTAAAATAAAAATTTAATTGTTTAAATGCTTTAAATATTATAGAATTTAACGTGTTTTTAATTCAGTTCCTAATGCGCTAGGAGGAATAGATGATTCCTAATTTCACGGAAGGAAACATCAGATTTTCCCTGTAGCGATGTTGAAGCAAGATGCCACAAAATTAGTCATTACCGGAGCGACAATCTCAAATTTTTAACTCTTCGTTTAAAGTTAATCCAAACTTTACCTCAAAATTCTCGTCTGCTATAAACTTCTTGTAAAGTTTCACGCCAAATTGCTTTACCTTTTCATCAATTTGATTTTTTTTTATCGCAACAGATGAGACTTTTTTCTTGGAATGAATCGGTGACTTTTACAAAGATATCTGCGGCTGCATGCAACGAAGCGATTTTTATTTGGTGCCATTTAATTTTATGGAAATTTATTCTAACTCCAGGCTTGAATTTATTGAATATATTTTTGTCTGCAGCGGTGCCTTGAATTTCGTTCTCAGTAGAATTGGAAATAAACGGTGACGATTTAAAGTTTTCCCAAGCTGCAAATGTGTAAATCGCGCGTTGAAATTTTGTGTACCCTGACAACAAAACATAAGTTATATAACATATAAAATTTTGTTGTAATTGTTGTAATACGCTTTTAATGTACAATATTTTTACTTTCATTAGTTATACTGTTGCCAATGAAGAAACGAGTAATCACTATTATTTCGTTGTAATTTTTTGCAGTTGAGAGTATTCCAGAATGGTAGTAAATGGCCAGGTTATTTTTGTACTCTACACTTTGAGTTAGCATTCAAATTTTAAAACACGTTCGTTCCTGAATTTTTCCCTTTGCGGTTTATTGCTACAGTTGCTGTATTGTTTCTCTGGAAGTATCTCAAAAGTTGAATGGTTTTTCTACGTTCATTTCAATCATATTTGTTTGCAACGAAATTTCACTCGTTTAAAATCACGTTAGATAATTTCGGGATAACATGAAGAACTTGATTGAATTCACTGCGTCAGTTAAGTGAGTGAACTGATTTAACGAGAGCAATTAGAGGTCAATCTGCAATCTCCTCGAGAGGAAGAGGAATATCGTCAATTGATTGGCACCTTCAGACGTGAGAAATTGGCGAAATTTCCAAGCTAAATCGGAATAGTCCGTTCATTCCATCTTGTCCATTGAACTTATGCCGATTATTTATCATGCGTTTCCGTTTTGTATTGATAAGATATGGATGATTTGAATTATTGGAATGAAAAGTTTTTTTACAATTTATTATTTGAAATGCATTGTTTGCAGGTGCTGATACACGTTTACTTACGGCTTGATATTTTCCGTACTATCTCATTGCTATTTCGCGAAGCGAACAATCTCATTTGACTGCTACAGCGAGCTGTCTACCGAGCGAACTGCTGCAGCTGCTGTGGCCTCCACCTGGCGAGATTCGCGACACAATTATGTCGAACTTCTTCGATCTAATAGAGAGTTAGTTAATAAAGAGACCCTCGCACGCTGCGGCGCTCGCTGGATAAACTCACGGGAAGATGTAATACACATGCTTCTGATGACTTAACCGTGGAGGAATTCCCTGAATTTTTGAAAACAAAATTTCTGCTGTGTGAGCGTCATCAGCCGGTGCTCCGTCGGCTACATTTGCCTAGTTTCTGTACGACTGCGTGCTCCAAGAATTCACTTTCGTCACAGCTGACGATGTCATCGCTGCAGTCATCGAGCTGCCTAACAAGCAGTGTGCCAGCAATCCCCTGCCAACGTTGTTACTTAAGAGGAACGTCCTATCTTAGCACCTTTTCTGGTAGAACTTTTCAACCATAACGCCGATATTACCCGATCTTCACTGGCTGCGCATGCAGCAGTGTACGCAGTTGAGTTAATGGTCGCTATTCTGACGTTCCGATGCCTTCACGGGCCTATACTTTCAAAAAAAGTTAAGAGATTGCAAGTTCATCAGCCAATCATTGACAAGTTACAAAAAGTATACAAGAAAGTAGAGCGTAAGTATTTACGTTCACTTAGCAAGTCTTGAAAGTATAGCCCAAGGTCTGGCGCCTGCTTATCTCACGGGATATCTGCAGCGCATGTCAGATCTGTCTTTTAGAAGACGATTGCGTTCGCAATTAACAGCGGACCTCGTCATTCCATCTATACGTCTATCTACCGTCGGCGACAGAGCGTTCTCGGTCGCCGCCGCCAGAACCTGGAACAGTCTGCCGGATTCCGTAACATCGGCTTCTTCGTTTCAAGTGTTTCGTTGACGCCTAAAGATGGAACTATTTCGTAGAGCCTATAAATTAAGTGCTTAGTCATTTTATCTATTCTCATCATGTCTAGTGTCTATTTGTTTCTCGCTTGCTGTTACACTTATGTATAAGGTGCCCTCGAAGTTCGATTGAACCAGACGTCACAATAAGTGCTTCGTATAATAATAATTTTTTCAGGTAATGTAATTTTTTTTTACTTATATATATTTATACTTATATATATATACTTATATTTTTTTAATTATATTATATTACGTATATTATATTCATTGTATATTATTTTATCTTTGTTTCGCATTAATTGCGCGGCAGGTTTCGACAAGTACAAAGGCGGCCTGGACACGGTGCACGACCTGACCGGGTTGTACAGCATCTACACGCACTGGCGCAGCATCGAGATTATGTTCCATGTGTCCATGCTGCTGCCCTACGAGAAGCACGACCCGCAGAAGGTGAGCTACAAGTGCCGTGCCATGAAAAATCGTTTAACTGCGTATATCATTCTAATTTATGCAAGTTTGATCAAAGACCCAACCATGCTTCTCATAAACAATTATTTTTGAACGAGTCGAACGAAATTTCTTGCTGCTGGCGCTGGGAGTTGTAGCGTTCTAAGTACACGTAGCGACCTAGGTACATGTAGCGCCCTAGGTACACTTAACGCCTTGAGTACACGTAGCGGCTTAAGTACACGTAACGCCATAGGTGCACGTAACGGCATAGGTCCACGTAGCGCTAGGTACACGTAGCGTCCTTGGTTCACGTAGCGTAATAGATACACGTATAAGCCAGCCAATTTCTCGTCTGCTAAAAGCCACTTAAAAAGATATCAGTGATTGTGTGACGAATTTTAGAATTTTTATATATTGTTTATAGTACGGTCACTGATCCAGAGGCATTTGATTTTTGATTGGGACTAGAAATTATTTTTGTTATGATAAATTATTTTTATTATTAGAAATAATTATTTCTTAGAGAAAAGTTTACGCTTTTTGAGTAACAAAGCCCGTAAAAGGTAAGCCCGTAAGCAAATGAATCAAAAGTATTTAAATATTTTTTTTTTCAAAGTTTGTTTTGTGTGTGAGTGTGTGTACTGATGTTTTATTAGAGTCAGTTTCAAAATTTTTCAGTAGCAAGGCCAGTAAATGGCAAGGAAATGAATAAAAAATATACAAGTGTTTATTTTAAATCATACTTCACGAGTTTGTGTTCACATTGTATGGGAAGTGGTCCACACAGGAGGACGGAAATGATCCTAATGTATTTACTTCGTTAAGATATAATATTTTTCAGGTTAACTTAAATAATGTCTGATCTGCCATCCAGGCAGATTAAATTATGCGTCATTTTAGATTCCAGCGCCAGGAAAGTGGAAACGAGCTGAGAGAGAGGCAGTTTTACCTTCTATTCAGCGTTAAGGAAGTAGGAACGCGCTGATAGGGTCAGGTTCACCTTCTATATAGCGTCAGGGAAGCAGGAACGCGCTGATAGGGTCAGGTTCACCTTCTATCTAGCGTCAGGGAAGCAGGAACGCGCTGATAGGGCCATTGTACAGCATCTACACGCACTGGCGCAGCATCGAGATTATGTTCCATGTGTCCATGCTGCTGCCCTACGAGAAACACGACCCACAGAAGGTGAGAAACTAGTGACGTGCTATCAAAAATCGTTTAACTGCGTGAATCATTCTAATTTATGCAAATTTGATCAAGGACCCAAGCATGCTTCTCATAAACAATTAATTTTAAACGAGTCTAACGAAATTTCTTGCTGGCGCTGGGAGTAGTTGCGTTCTATGTACATGTAGCGACCTAGGTGCATGTAGCGTTCTAATTTATGCAAGCTTGATTAAAGATCCAAGAATGCTTCTCATAAACAATTATTTTTTAATGAGTCGAACGAAATTTCTTGCTGACGCTGGGAGTTGTAGCGTTCCAAGTACACGTAGCGACCTAGGTGCATTTAGCGTCCTCGGTTTACTTAACGCCGTGAGTACACGTAGCAGTTTAAGTACACGTAGCGCCATAGGTCCACATAGCTCCCTAGGTACACGTAGCGTCTTTGGTTTACGTAGCGTAATAGATACTGTACACGTAGACGCAAGCCAATTTCTCGTCTGTGAAAAGCCGCTTGTAAAGCTGTCAGTGATTGTGAGACGAATTTGAGAATTTTTAATTAGTATTTATAGTAGGTCCCTGATCCAGAGGCATCTGATTTTTGATTGGTACTAGAAATAATTTTTGTTATGTCAAATTATTTTTATTATTAGAGATTATTATTTTTTAGAGATAAGCTAAAGCTTTTTGAGTAAGAAAGCCCGAAAAAGGTAAGCAAATGAATCATAAGTATTTCTATATACAGGAGCATAGAAAGGGTCAGGTTCACCTTCTATCTATCGTCAGGGAAGCAGGAACGCGCTGATAGGGTCAGGTTCCCCTTCTATCTAGCGTCAGAGAAGCAGGAACGCGCTGATATGGGCAGTTTCGCCTTCTATCTAGCGTCAGGGAAGCAGGAACGCGCTGATTGAGGGAAGTTTGCCTTCTATTTAGCGTCGAGGCTATCGTTTACACGGCAGGGCGGGTTCGGCCAGCAGAAGCAACCCGATATTTTCCAGCTCACTCGATGCCTCCGAGGCCGTGACGGCGCCCATGGCTGCCGGCCCAGCGCGTCTACATGCATTAGCTCATGCCGTCTTTCGGCGCCTCGAGTAGCTTGAAAAATTGCGCCATGTTCTGTCGGGGTTCTGATGGATGGATGGCGTGTTTCTGATGGATGAATGGCTTGAGTAAATGATCCAATTGGGATTCACGTGAGAGTGCTGGGTTGCGTGAGTGATGCTTCTCTGGTGATAATGTCATGTATCACCTCGATGTGACTCAGTGGCCGAGTGGCTAAGATCACCTAAATTGAAATAGCGAGTTGGGGTTCGAAAGCTGCAACTAGCTGTGAAAATTCTTGTTGAATTCGGTAACGGGGCCAGATGGTTGAGAATCATCAGAGGGCCAGCATGGCCTAATCAAAGATGACCCTTTTATTTCATTATATATCATTTTATGTTTATGGGTTCTTTGTGAACATGGATTTATTATCGGAAATTTCTGCAGGATTCCTTTTTACAGTATCATTATCATTAAATTATTATTATTAACCGTTGTAACTTTCCTTAGTGATCGACGAGTGTGGTTGACGGTGTTTGCATCAGGACTGTGACATTATATAACCTTTTCGTCTGATTCGCTTGAATTTATTTTAAATATTTTTGTTGTTGGAACGTAATATGTTTGATTAAATGTCACACTTCCGAACATAGCACGATATGGATTGAACTACTTCTCTAATTGAGCATGGAATTGTAAAATATTTGATTTCCTAATACCGTCTACCGAATTCAGAGAACTAAAATGTGAATATTGCTAATGGAAAATATTTTGTGGTATATTTTTTGTCCAATCCAGCGCACGCTTCCGATCGACGAACTCTCTGCATCCTGCGCAAAAATCCAAGGAGCCTTCCATACGAGCAAATATTTTAGCTTTGGGAATTTTTACGCGTCGTGCCCAACAGGTCTCTTGATCTCAGCCCCACTGGAGGGCGCTCGAGGGTTTTGGATTGAAGTGTTTATGCCAGGCACGATTCAGAACGTTTTCTTTCTCCCTGTGCATACGTAGGCTCGTGTATTTTTCCGTAATTTTCCCTCGTAAAATCAGCCCTTGTGCACGCAGCAACCGAGGAGTTTAAGTGTCTTTTTTTAATTAGTGAGAGCGAACGCACGTGTATTGAGCAGAATTTTCATACTTCGAACAAAATTTTGAAATTCTGACTGCAAAATATAAACTTCTTTTCGCGAAAATTCTGTTAGTTTTAAGCTGTAAAATATTATGACTTGTTTCCGAAAACTAAACCCTAAAAGATATTTGATTAAACAATGTTTCCCTGCAGCCTGAAGGGCCCCGGATACACTTATCCACTTGTTCAGCTCAATTAAAAAAAACTAATCCACGTGCAAATACGTCCGTTTCCACCTAGAAATAATGCCTTATGATTTTGGCTGAAATTCGCTTCTAGGTCTTCAATGATAAGCTGCCCATCCGAAGCTGCATTATATCGCTATGGGTCTTTCTTACGATGTCGAACAGTTCGAGTCGAAAAGAATAAAATGTTGATGCATAAACTCAAAGGACTCAAGTTCGTTTAACGATCGCAGTAGAAAGCTAAAATTTCATAAAAAAACATACGTATATATTGCAAATTATCGAGTGATGAATGAAATTATCGAGGAAGGATGTTAAATGGAAGGATGCTGAATGAAAGGATGCGAAATGGAAGGATGCTAGATGAAAGGATGCTAGATGAAAGGATGCTAGATGAAAGGATGCTAGATGAAATAATGCTAAATGAAAAGGTAATAAATGAAAGGATGCTAAATGTAAGGATGCTAAATGGAAGGATGCTAAATAGAAGGATGCTAAATGAAAGGATGCGAAATGGAAGGATGCTAGATGAAAGGATGCTAAATGAAAGGGTAATAAATGAAAGGATGCTAAATGGAAGGATGCTTAATGAAAGGATGCTAAATGGAAGGATGCTAAATGAAAGGGTAATAAATGAAAGGGTAATAAATGGAAGGATGCTAAATGAAGGGATGCTAAATGGAAGGATGCCTAATGAAAGGATGCTAAATGGAAGGATGCTTAATTGGATGCTAAATGGAAGGATGCTAAATGAAAGGGTAATAAATGAAAGGATGCTAAATGTAAGGATGCTAAATGGAAGGATGCTAAATGAAAGGATGCTAAATAGAAGGATGCTAAATGAAAGGATGCTAAATGGAAGTTTGCTAAATGGAAGGATGCTAAATGGAAGGATGCTAAATGAAAGGGTAATAAATGAAAGGATGCGAAATGGAAGGATGCTAGATGAAAGGATGCTAAATGAAAGGGTAATAAATGAAATGATGCTAAATGAAAGGGTAATAAATGGAAGGATGCTAAATGAAGGGATGCTAAATGGAAGGATGCCTAATGAAAGGATGCTAAATGGAAGGATGCTTAATCAATGGATTCTATATTATCAGTTAACACTCTGCCAGGGGTCGGTCATTGGCTGGGCTGTGACCCCCATTTAACTGTCAGTGGAGACGCTGTCAAGGGTCGGTCGTTGCGGGCTGTGAACCCCATTTAACTGTCAGTGGATACGCTGTCAAGGGTCGGTCATGGCGGTATTGTGACCCCATAGAACTGTCAACGGAGACGCTGTCAAGGGTCGGTCGTGGCGGTATTGTGACCCCATAGAACTGTCTGCGGAGACGATGCTAGGGACCGGTCGTGGCGGTATTGTGACTCCATAGAACTGTCAAAGGAGACATTGCCATTGGATAGGGCTGCGTGCTCAGATAGCAAGACGCAGTCCAGTCTTGCAGCTGCATGATGGGGGCTCTTGTGTTGGCTACAAATGCATCTGCCTTTCGTTGTGCTGGTGTGTGTTGTCTAGTGAGTTTCGGTGGGTGTCTAGTGTCTGCTTGTGGGTGTGTAGTGTGTGCGTGTGGGTGTGTTGTGTGTGCCTGTGTGTGTGTGTGTTAGAACATACATAAATTTTACATCACACATTAGTTGTAGAGATCAGTAATGTATTGCTTCAATTTGAATGTTCATTACAATTAAATCATCAAGTTCAGATTTGATTAGTTACCAGGAGGCGAGCATGTCATTCGAAAGTGATAAGATTGCAAGACTTCTAAGATGGAATGGAACCCTAACAACGAATTGAATCAGGAATTTAAAAGCAAAGAAAACAGCCGGAATATTAACCATTTCTTATGAATGAAAAGGTTTCGGAGTCCAGCTCCATCGTCAGTTCAAAAGTTCAAAACCTATAAGAAAAGCAGAATCAATTAGAAAACTAAATTCACATCGAAGATAAAAACATAAATTGACATAAATTGAATTATTTTATTTATTTTATATTTTAATTGTGTGTTTTCTAATGGGTTTAGTGGGTGTGTAGTGTGTGCGTGTGAGTGTGTTGTGTGCGCGTGTTTGTATGTGTGTGTGTGTGTGATAGAACATACATAAATTTTACATCACGCATTCGTTGTAGAGATTAGTAATGTATTGCTTCAATTTGGATGTTCATTACAATTAAATCATCAAGTTCAGATTTGATTAGTTACCAAGAGGCGAGCATGTCATTCGAAAGTGATCAAATTGCAGGACTTCTAAGATGGAATAGAACCCTAAAAACGAATTGAATTATTTAAAATAGATGTCAGTGGTTCATCATTCGCTTCATGTTTCATCAAATTCGGAAATTTTAAAAACCTAAAACAATTTATAACAAAATTTTCTCAATAAATGCTGTCAACAAATCAAAAATGATTTGGGATCAGGATAATTGGAATAGAAAATTAGTATATTCTTTAGTACGCATTTGAAAATGAACTTAATTTTATCGGAGCATTGCCTAGGCGTTTACGTATATGAGAAGTTGAAGTATTTTTTTGGTCAGTAATAAAACTGTGCTTCAGTCTGCTGCAGCTAGTGCAGGAGTACGATCTCTACCGTTCGAAACGGTAACGACCGTAAACCGTAACCGTTCGAAATGTGTAATGTCAATTGCCCTCTACTATTTGTATAGTAAAATATCAGCCGTTGCAGCTTCCCTCTTTTCACAGCCAACTCCTCTTGACATTTCAATCGTATAATTGGTAACTTAATCACTAAATTATTTATCCACAGAGACACGTGGTTTTCACTATTGTTCTGAAGCAACCTGACATTGCATTCGATTTTTTTACTCAACACACGCCATTTGACGTATAAAATAAATTGGAATAATAAAAAAATAATGTTTATTTTTACGGTTAGGGGCAAGATTTTGAAGTTTGCTTTAAAAAGATCGGTCGTTTACGTGAAGAATTTGATAGATTTTTCTTATTTTCAAGCTTTTTACTATAGGGAGTTCATCACTAAATTTCTCCACCCATTATCTCTCCCCTAAAAAATACGCCTAGTCATCCCCGATTGGACATCAAGAATTCCGAACAAGATTTTTGTTCGCAGCTCCCCACTCCCATTCATATGAACTTTTCGGTCGTGTCTACAAAAAAAAATGATGGAACAGATTCGAAGCTCAATCAAACATTTGGCATTCGTGTTCGGGTGGTGCTTCTGGATTTCTTTCGAATCATTTTTATTTCAGATTAATTTTTATCATTTGATTTATTAGGCCAGGCGTGTGGTCTACCAAACGATTCAATGGCTCGGCTTCCTGTGCTGTGCGTCGCATTACGGCAATAAAATGCAGCAGCAAGAAAAAAGTATTTTTTTTTATTCGAAAATCTCCGTATTCTTTATATATCTCGTTTCTTATTCTTTATACGGTAGTTTTGACAAAAATTTCCATACCGATTAGAGATTTTCAGTTACTTAATCATGGCTTTTAAATGCCAGGAACAATCTCTTTGGAATTATTAATCCATCTTTTCGATAGTATACTTCAATGAATAAACTTTTTATCCCTAAAGCAAAATAATAGTCTAACTACTCGTTTATCTTACATTTGTTCTTTGTGTGTTAATTCACATAATTAAATTGAATAAATAAGCCATTATTAATGTAAACCAAAAGCAAGAATCAAATTATCTACGTAATTTAAGTCGCCCCACAGACGTCTACAAGAAGAACAGTTCATGAGTTCAATTCAATAAAACAAAATGAAATTCACAATGTAATTAAACAATGGATAATTTTATGCAAACAAACTAATTTAAATCAAAAGTTTAATGTAACTTCACTTTTCTGAATATTAATTTGTATTGTAACGCGTGGCGTGGAATGAAATTCTTTGTAATTTTAAGCCAGAAAATTGGAAGCTTATAGGCTTGCTTTATCCACTGAATGCCCGGAAGCGCATTCGATGTTCTTTAGAAACATTTATTCGAGAGGCTGGTATGTGTCCATAACGATTCACTCGCCACCACTCATTACATTGCGACGAGGTATTGTGTTCAGTAACTGGTTTGCATCGCTATTGTGTAGAAGCCTCAATATTTTGCGCTGTGTAGAAGCCTCAGTATTGTGCGCAAATTGAAAGAATTCAGTTCCTGCTTCTACCGATGTTATGGCATCGATGCGATCAAGTTTCGATGCGATCAAGTACCGATGCGATCAAGTTTCGATGCGATCAAGTATCGATGCGATCAAGTTTCGATGCGATCAATTTTCGATGCGATCAAGTTTCGATGCGATCAAGTTTCGATGCGATCAAGTTTCGATGCGATCAATTTTCGATGCGATCAATTTTCGATGCGATCAAGTATCGATGCGATCAAGTACCGAAGCGATCAAGTATCGATGCGATCAGGTATCGATGCGATCAAGTATCGATGCGATCAAGTATCGATGCGGTCAAGTATCGATGCGATCAGGTATCGATGCGATCAGATATCGATTAGGCAAAAAATGAAAAGTGATAGATACAAAATAGAAAAAATGAGAAGAAGACAAGGAAAAACGGAAATTCAATCTCATAAGACTGCAAAATACGAAAATGGCTTATGTGATTCCGATATTTTTTCCTTGTCTAGCATGTCGTAGTAAACAATGTAAGTTTTCCTTGGAACAAAAATGTTATGCATATGATATCAAGTCAAAGATCGTTTCTGGGTCTAAGGAACGATTGATATCGCAGCTTAGTTTTCATCTGAACGTATTTTAATCGAAAAACGGGTTACTCTATTTGTATTCACAGGATTCTTAAATTTTTCCGGTATTAGAATAATGCTTTTGAACTTTCAAGATAAAGATAAACCTTAAATTCTAAAAGGTTACCTTTTTTAAAGTTTTAAACAATAAATCCAATTTCAGTTACAACGGAAGCGGCATCTTGGCAACGACATCGTTTGCGTGGTTTTCCTGGAGGCTGACAATACGCACTTCAGTCCCGCCTGCATCAAATCTCACTTTCTGCACACCTTCATCATCGTGCGCACAAGTCCACGCATCAAGTTCAAGCCCACCAGATACGAGGTAGAGCATTTTTTTTAATTAGATAATGAGTCCTTGGCTTCCAGAATCAAAATTTGAATAGAATGCAGATCATATTCACAAATAGTTTTCAAACCCACCAGATGCAGAGTCTACGTTTATTCTACGTTATAATTTCACATACATAATTTGTTGATAAATTTCACCTTGGTGAACGCGCTTAATTTAATATAAAGTCCATCAGGTTAATAATAAAGTTAAATATCCTGCTCGCAATCTCCTCTTAAGGTCGAACTGGCTGTGGCAAGATTCACAATTAATTCTTGATTTTCGTTTCGCAGAACTAAATTTAAAAACATCCAGGAACATAGAACTCGAAGTTTCTTCATACTGAAAAAGTTCGTAGCTGACCTTTCAACGAAAGTGACGCAGATCTTTTTAATATTTAGTATTTAACGGGGAATCCAATTAGGAAACACAAAACCAACAATTTTGGCAACTGCACTAGTGCCGACGACCAGAATGTCATCTAAAACAAGAAAAACCTGAAGAATTTTGTCGCGTAATGCTTCATTCTGCACGTCTCTCTCTATTCGATAAACAAAGTCGAGGGAAAATATCGTTAAGGGAGAACATAGGATTAAAGCTGCACAGGCTGCCTCTTCGATCTCTGCAGTCGCACTCGGTCCATCGCTAGGGAAATTCCCTTAAATGTCGAACCTTTACTTTTACGCCTCTACACTCCACGTCCTAGGGCAAAATAGATCAGTTTATCAGCATTCGATCGAAGCGTGGCGAACGCAAATACTTTTAATGCCGTTTGAGATTTTCGGCGAAATGCTTATCGAATTCTATCGAATAAATTCACTGGTTGGTGTTAAATAAAATGAAACGTTTGCTGGGTTTAAGGGATCCAGCTTTGCTGGTCGTTGATAGGCCGACCATGTCTGAACGTAATTTTTGGTCGTGCTTCGTGAGAAAAAAAATCGATTTATCGTAGGGAGTAATTCAGGTCCAAGTTTAATAAATTTTAAGGCTGTAATTGAAAATTTCTAATACTGAAGTGGAAAGTAGATTCTCGATTACTTGATGATATCATTAGATTTTCTTGAACCAATGTTGGAGACGAGTGACCGTATAGAATGTAATTTTTCCCCAATTGAAATCAGCAAGCAAAATTCCTCCATTTTTATTTTCGATACGATCTCTAATTGGCACTCCGGAAACCCCACGTGTGCATTTTAATTTATTAATACTCACTATGTCTTTTAACATTTAATTGGCAAGGTATGATTTATAGCCGTCATAAATAACGGTATCTAAGTTGTGCAACATTCCCACAACTGTCCATAAGGGTCTGTAATATTTATATCGCTACACTCAGTGTTACGTTAAAAAAATGATTTTTCAAGTATAATCATGACTAGTGAATACTGTTATTTCTAGAGGCCAGAACAATAATAATAATACACACAGGAGCGCCATGGTTCATCTAATTCTAAATTGATTATAATTAAATGGGAGCTTAATTTATGAAGCTTATAATTGTTAATTATTGCAAATTTATGGCGCTGCGCTGGGTCGTGACCCGAGAATGGCATGTATTTAAATCATTCATGGCAAAATTATGTTGAAAAGTCGTGACCCAACCGAAATATAAATCACATTAATTTTTTTAGGAAATAATGGAAATATTTTTCAAGTCTTCTGTCTAATCTAAAATATGTAAACGTCGATTATAAATCTAAATTCTTTGACCAGAGATATAATGACCCGTCAGTTTGCAGCTTCTCGTTGAGCTTTGAACACTCTGAACTTCTCGTTGTATTTTGAGTGGCAATTTTTGTCGGCCGAAACAAACGGTTAAGGCATGTTTTTTGCCACATTTATGAAGAGAAGGAAAACTAGACCAGTTCACCGTTCTACAGGGACGGTCTATTATAATTCAAAAGATGGCCAGAACCATTCACAGGTCTGCAAGAAGAGTTAATCACGAAATTGATTAAAAGCTGAAACAATTAATTGTGATGCGATTTAATAGATGTGCTCTTAATGGTACACTTAGAAAACTGCATGGGTTATAATTTCGTATTAGTGACACACTCTTTCTATACGACACACTCCGTCTCACTGATACGTCCTTCTGTCGAAGGGCAGGATGACTCAGATAAGAGAATGAAATGCATCGCTATTTAGGCAAAGCCTTACTCATTTCTCTGTTTCTCTGGGTGTACATGAACCTAAATAAAGTTCTTTGGGGATCATTCATTTATTTTTGGCATTACAGGTGGCCGTGGTGTCCCGGGATGAAGTGGGAGCGTACAAGCCCTACCTGTGGGAGCAGGGCAGCTTCGAAAAGGGTCCTATGTTTAGGGAGTGGCTGCTGACTAAAATCGTCAACGGGGAGCGAGCGTCCTATTCCGCTCCCAAGTTCGCCAGGATGCAGGACAGAACTCGGTCGCAGATGCTGGAGGACCTGGTCAATAACTTGCAAAACCACGCCGAGACCGGCCAGATACCCAAACCGTACAGGTAGTTCATAAGCTTCATTATAATTGTCAATAATTAGCATTACCAGGATGAAACCGACCAGAATTAAAGCAAAAGAATTCGGAAAAAATCATACTGTAAAATACATAAAATCACAAAATCGTCTCAATGTAAATATAAAAATATTATAAAGAGAACGGCAGAAGTGAAAGCAAATCTCGCGTTACAGACGCGGATCGTGGCGTCCAATTGGCCACATGCGTCCCAGCTCTCCACTGCTGGACTCCGTGAGGGATTTGTTCGAAGGACACGACCAGCTCGCTAAGGACTTTACTAAGGCCTTCCACAGCAGGGAGAACTCTTACAAAAACATGCTTTATGACATCACCTTTTGGGTCGGCGTCGGCAGGGAAAAGACCAAACTCATGGGGGTCAGGGCCATACTGGGTGTACGCAGCAGGTAAGGCTGATTCTTCTTACTATTTACTTCTTGTAATATATTACAATACATAAATATCCAGTAGGTTAGCCGGGCGTTGGCCAGGCTTGAATATTCCTGCAATTTTATAATTCCAATCCCGTCATACCCGTTTTCCCAAATCGTGTAAGTAATCTGACATATGAATTTCAATCAAATAACGACCTCTACAAACCAACATAGAAGGTAAAACACCATTTAATTCTCGAGTCAATATAAGAAATAATATTTTGTGTCGCTTAAATTTATTTATATATATTTGAATTACGAAGTCAAAATTCAATTTTGGATCCAATCCTTTCTTCCGGTTCCCTCGAATCCTTCCCAATTCTCCTAATAAGAATGAAATTTAAGGTATACGTAATATTAATTAGTTTGCAGGTAAATCAAATTCTTATTACTGAAAAATTAATTGTATGAATAATTTACCTTGAAAGTTAAATCGTACTCGGAGAGGTTTGATTTATCATTGGTGTCGTACAAGTGCATCTCGATGACCACTGACCTGTGTAGGCGGTGCACAAGTCTACGGAAATTACAACCAGTATTAAAGTTACTTAGTCGTGTATAAGCGGGGCATTAGTCTACGGAAATTACAACCAGTATTAAAGTTACTTGGTCGTGTGTAGGAGGGGCATTAGTCTACGGGAATTACAACCAGCATTACAGTTGCTTGACCGTGTGTAAGCGGGGCATTAGTCTACGGGAATTACAACCAGCATTAAAGTTACTTGGTCGTGTGTTAGTGGGACACAAGTCTACGGGAATTACAACCAGCATTATAGTTACTTGGTCGTGTGTAAGCGAGGGACAAGTCTACGGAAATTACAACCAGCATTATAGTAACTTGGTCGTGTGTAAGCGGTGCACACGTCTACGGGAATAGAAGTAGTAGTATTTTTCCATTTGTTTCTTCTAAGTACCCCCTGCATCAGATTTCTACCTCTCATTTCTTCTCCTTACTACTTCCCCTCACTAATTCATCCCACTACTTCATCTCCTCCCGCCTCCCTCCCTCACCTCACTGCTCAACCTCACTCCCCTACCTCATGCACTCCTCCACCTCGCTCACCCAACTCACTCACTCATCTCACTCCCTCAACGCACTCCCAAACCCTACTCCCCAACCAAACTCTCCCACCCCACTCCCTCATCTCACTCTATCACCCCACTCACTCACCTCGCTCTCCCAACTCACTCTCAAACCCTACTCCCCAACCACACTCTCCCACCCCACTCCCTCACCTCACTCTACCACCCCACTCCTCCGCAGGGTGTTCCAGGAGATGTTGTACGGGTTCAGCACTGGCTTCGGGTCGCCGCAGGTTTCCGTAGCAGACATCCTGGCCCGCGCTGTGCCTACCCTGCACTCCCCCACGCACAAGTCCAAGAGCTCCAACTTCCTCCAGGTCAGCGGGCCTTGTCCATGGAGCAGGTAGCGATCCAGGTGTTGAGTGTGGAGCAGAAAGAGCTCCAGGCTAGGGGGCGTTGAGTGTAGAGCTGGTAGTGCTCCAGGCTAGGGCATTGAGATTGGAGCTGCCAGAGCTCCAGGTTATTTGGTGATGAGTGTGGAGCAGGTAGAACTCTAGGCTAGGGATTTGAGATTGGAGCTGCCAGAGCTCCAGATTGGGCGGCGTTGAGTGTGGAGAAGGTAGCGCTCCAGGTTGAGGGACGTATGGAGCATAAAGTATATAGATAATATTACAGTTCAAGTAGCGCGTGGTGTAGTAGGAGGAACGACTTGGAACAACCGTTTCCAAACTATTTGATAAATCAAAATGATATAAGATTTTATGATCATTTCTTCTAAAACAAAAATATACGAGACCGCACGGGTTAAGTAGCCGTGTGATACCTATGATAGTTAGAACTCTAAGCTTCTGGACATGGCGCGTGTAGCAGTGATCAGCATTCGTTGCAGTATTGGTAAGCAGTTCATAGTTGACAATAATGCTGAACGGTCAACTTAGTGCCATAATAAAATACGAACTAGTTTGTAGCTGATGGTCTTTGCGATGTTGTTGATTGCTACCTGCTTAAGTCATGCTACAACGAGTGTTGTCTTGTGTCGTCTTTCCAATGTGGAATGCAGATTAAAGTTTGTATCTCTTTGATTATCTGCGTACTTTATTCAAATGCAATCCTTCATGTTTAGGTTCTCCTCTTTTAGTTTTGACCTTTTTTTGTTCGTAACTCCCAGAACTTTAATTTTGTGATTTTATCAATTTTTAGCTTTAATTCCAGAGCTTATATATCTGTCTTAACTTCCTTGTTATAATTTAGTCACTTAAATTATTCGAATAATTTTACTGATTAAATTCTTAGGCTAATTAGTTCCTCGAACGTTCCAATGTAGCATTTGACGTCCCACGCAAAATCTTTCTCCCCAACATTCTGTCATAAATACAGTTAATGTCATGAAATTACGTCGCCCATGCCAACACCAGCTACCCACTCCCCCAACAGGTGCCTGACATCGAGACGCCACGCCCCAAGAGCGTCCCCAACTCCCCCATGGTGATGCGCGCCTTCTCCCGTCTAGGGACTCTCACCTCCGGCTGGGGAAGATCCTCCAAGAAACATGAGCGCCTCTCTGTTGAGGATAAAAAGAAATGGGCGTCCTCGCAGGACTGCTCAGGTAATTATCTTAACCAGTTCTGTCATTACCCTGACGCTACCAGTGCGGCCATTACCCTGACATTACCTGCAATGTCGTTACGCTTACATCATCTGCGCTGCAGTTGCCCTCACGTTACTGCGTAGCAGCTACCCTCACGCTATCTGCGCTGCAGTTACCCTCATGTTACTTTCGCTGCAGTTACCCTCACGTTATCTGCGCTGTAGTTACCCTCACGTCACATACGCTGCAGTTACTCTCACGTTATTTATGCTGTAGTTATCCTCACGTTATTTACGCTGCAGTTACTCTCACGTTAACTGCTCTTCAGTTCCATGCCTGCCCTTTAATGCCGCTTTTACACCACCATTATGACTCCTTGACGACTTAGTCACTCCATCCTCATGACACTTTTACGCCGCCCGCACACCGCCTATACAACGCCACTTTCAGTCATCCTGCACGCAATCCAAACATCTTTCCCCACACCAACTATGACTAATCTTTAAGCCACCCCTACTCCACCGTTGCTCTACCTTTACGCCATCTTTACTCCATCTTTACGCCACCTTTACTCCACCTTTACGCCACCTTTACTCCACCTTTACGCCACCTTTACTCCACCTTTATGCTACCTTTGCTCCGCCTTTACGCCACCTTTACTCCACCTTCACGCCACCTTTTCTCCACCTTTACGCCACCTTTACTTCACCTTTAAGCCACATTTACTNCTCTACCACCCCACTCCTCCGCAGGGTGTTCCAGGAGATGCTGTACGGGTTCAGCACGGGCTTCGGGTCCCCGCAGGTTTCCGTAGCAGACATCCTGGCCCGCGCTGTGCCTACCCTGCACTCCCCCACGCACAAGTCCAAGAGCTCCAACTTCCTCCAGGTCAGCGGGCCTTGTCCATGGAGCAGGTTTGGACAGCGGACGTTGAGTGTGGAGTACGTAGAGGTCCAGGCTAGGGGGCGTTGGGTGTGGAGCAGGTTGTGCTCTAGGCTAGGGCTTTGAGATTGGAGCAGCTAGAGCTCCAAGTATATAGATAATATTACAGTTCAGGTGGCGCGTGGTGCAGTAGTTGCGAACAACGGGAAACAGTCGTTCACAAATTATTTGTTTAAATTATTTTTCTTTAGGATTTATGATGATTTCTTCTATACCAATAATGTACGAGACCGCACGCCTTAAGTCGTCGTGTCATACATACGATAGTTAGCTAGAACTCTGAGCTGCTGGACGTGTAGCGCGTGTAGCAGAGTGGCGCGTGTAGCAGAGATCAGCATTCATTGCAGTGCTGGTAAGCAGTTCATACATGACAATTATGCTGAGAAGTCAAATTCGTACAACAATAAAAGTTGAACCAGGTTGCAGCTGATGGTCAATGCGATGTTGCTGACAGCATAAGGTTTGCTACCTACTTGAATCATGCTGACTACAACGAGTGTTGTGTAGTGTCGTCTTTACAATGTGAAATGCAGATTAAAGTTTGTATCTCTTTGATTATCTGCGTGCTTTATTCATACGCAATCTTTCTTGTTTTGATATTCCTCTTTTAGTTTTGACCTTCTTTGCTCGTATTTTATGGTCCTACATTTTTTCTTTCACAACTTCCAGAAATTTAATTTCAGGCCTTGCTCTTTAAAATGAGCATATTGTTCTGTCTTAACGCCCTTTTATTATTTATTCTCTTAAATTATTTAAATAATTATAATTATTAGGCTAATAAGTCCTTGGAACTTCCTAATGTTTAATTTGTCGTCACAAAATCTTTCCCCCAACATTCTATCATAAATACAGTTAATGTCAGGAAATTCTGTCGCCCACGCTAACACCTGCTACCCACTCCCCCAACAGGTGCCTGACATAGAGACGCCTCGCCCCAAGAGCGTCCCCAACTCCCCCATGGTGATGCGAGCCTTCTCCCGTCTAGGGACTCTCACCTCTGGCTGGGGAAGATCATCCAAGAAACACGAGCGCCTCTCTGTTGAGGATAAAAAGAAGTGGGCGTCCTCGCAGGACTGCTCAGGTAATTATCTTAACCAATGCTACCATTACTCTGATGTTACCACAGCGGCCATTACCCTCCCATTGCCTGTTATGCAGTTACCCTCATATTATCTGCGCTGCAGGTACCCTCACGTTATTTACTCTGTAGTTACCCTCATATTATCTGCGCTACAGTTACCGTCACTTTATTTGCGCTGCTGTTACCTTCACGTTATCTTCGCTGTAGTTACAAGCCCGTCATCGTTACTCCACCTTTACACCACTATCATGCCTTTTTTACGACATAGTCACTCCATCCTCATGACACCTTTACGCTGTCTTCAAGCCACCCTCACGCCATCCTCTCACCTCCCTCACACCGCCTTTACGCAGCCCTCACCCATCCTTCACGTCATTCTCACACCTCTCCCACAACACCTATGACTCACCTTACGCCACCTCTACTCTATTTTAAGCCACATGTACACCACCTTTACGCCACCTTTACTCCACCTTTACGCCAACTTTACTCCACCTTTACGCCATCTTTACTCCAGCTTTACGCCACCTTTACTCCACCTTTACGCCACCTTTACTCCACCTTTAAGCCGCCTTTCCTCCACCTTTAAGCCACCTTTACCCCACCTTTAAGCCACCTTTACTCCACATTTAAGCCACATATACTCCACCTTTAAGCCACCTTTACTCCACCTTTAAGCCACCTTTACTCCACCGTTAAGCCACCTTTACTCCACCTTTAAGCCACCTTTACTCCACCCTTCCTCTGGCAGGCAAGGATGGCAAGGAGAAGTCCGGCAGCAGTAAGGACGGCGCGCTGGCCGTGCCACGACTGAGCGTATGCGCCGACGTCGGTAAGGTGGACCGGACACGACTCTGCCAGACGGAGGTACGTGTCACCCCCGCCGTCATCATGGAGCCCCGGCAGAGCACGGTGAGTGGTCTGCGTGCCCGTACCCTTATCCATCCTCACCCTACTTACCTGGTTAAGTTAATTAGCTAGTTAATATACTTTGTGTCAAGATTAATTAGATACTTCGTAACGCAGTCTTTTCAGGATTGTTAAGTTGTTATTCAGTTAATTCACCGATTTATTACTTAATTATTTTAACTATGGAGTTCTTTGGTTACTCAATTATGTTAATATTTTACCACTGATATTTACTGAGAATATATCGACAAACGACAACTAACCTTGTTGAGCGATTTAATTATTTTTAGTATTTACTCCTTATCTTTGGAGGTTTTTTCAAGTCTATGTTTGTGTCGCTGTGCGGCATAATTGATAATTGATAATTGCTTCCACCTGAGCGTTTAACGGACTTACCGATTAGCAAACATCTCTATCACTTATTTACCAACTTCTTAATTAGGTGTGATACACTATTACCTTACTAATAAGATTTTAATTACACGTTAACAAGTCTTGTTCTTGATTACGAATCCCGAAAAAGTGCACATCGTAGACAGATCAAAGCGCTTTGCGTTCTCTGAACCTTTAATGATGGTGTTAATATTTATAATCATAATATGCACAATTATTTAATTTTAGCAGCATCCACAAATTTTTATTTGTCTATCTTCGCATTTTTTACGTGCCTGACGTTTTACGAAGCTTAATTGAATTCCAAGAAAAGTCCCGTATTTCGTTAGTATCCAATCTTTCATATTATGAAAGGTTTAAAATCTTTCATGTTATGAAAGGTTTCAAATTGAATGAAATAATTTTTTCGAATTACCGACTGCGTTGGCGGTTGTTTTCAACTTTTAAATAAATTCTTGTAAATATTTTGAGCATTTTCCATCATTCTTAATTCCGGAATATAAAAATGTTTCGTTAAACTGAAACCAATATTCGTCCATGTTTTGATGAGTTGAATCGTCAAGCTTCTACGATTCTTCTTTTGCATCATAGTTTCGTATGTTAAAAGCGCGTGAAAAATTCGTATTTTATATAAAAATTAATTTATTTTAAATTCAAAATTTTTATTACGAATTCATTTTAAGATTTTTCTCAGAAAAATAAACCTGCAGAATGTGATCTTTCTCGTGCGTACTTTATTGCTAGCATTCACTTTCCAGGAATAGGATTCTTTTGTTCGTGATTTTCAAATTTCACACCTATTTAGCTTTAACTCGTTAAACTTGTTTCACACTTTAACTTGTTAAACATGTTTCTAACTTTATTCACCTTTAGAAAAATTCTGGAAATTTCTGCTCAGATTTTTGCTAGGTCTTCATCTCACTGCATTTCTGGCAAGCTGAATTTTGTGTTAATTTGTATAAAAATAGTAAAATAGTATTTTCATACTATTTCATACCATAGTAAAATTGATATTTTCTCGTGTTAAATAACAGTCTTTCTGATTCGCTGTCGAATTGCAGATTTGGTCAAATCCCAAGAAACTAATCTTACGTTGACTCAAATTAATTATCAAAACATTTTCCACAGTTAAACAAATTATCTGCGTTAAAGAGATTTTTCCTATTCAATTGAAAACTAACAATTTAACACTATATTCACTTGCTCTTTTATTTATTCTTCATGGGGAAAATATCGGTTTGCATTAAAACTCCTATCTTCATTCACCTTATACTCTTATTTACGTCGTGTAGTTCCTCAAGTCTGCATTGTAAAGACAAATTTAATTTCCATCACCCTTCTACCGCTCAATTATTTTGCAGTTAATATATGACTTGCACCGTAGTTACTTCATCCATTTTGCGAGTTGCGTTAATTTCGTTTATTAAATAGTAGCTTAAAGTTGGCTTACCAGCAATGTTACCAACTCTTAGTTAGTTTTCAGGACCGCTTCTTAATATTTATTCATTTATATTGGCACGATCTGTCAGTATTTATCCATGCTCGGAGTTGCGTGCTCAACTGAGTTTAAAACATAAACTGAAAAATAACTGCATTCATGAATGTTGTCAGCCTTTTAAATAACTTTATCATAATTAATTGAAGGGAATACGTCATGAATTGCATGACGCCATGAATCAAGTAAGAAAGTAAGATACTGAATTTGATAAATTGTGGTCTGAAGACAGCCCGGCGTATTTATTTACAATCACTTTTTGTCGAGAAAAATAATCGTACTTTCGATCAAGGAAAGTGATTACACTTTTGATCAAGAAAGATTGTTGTAAGTAAATCAGTGAAATTGAATCTTATTTGTTGGCTCTAGAATGACTCCGTTTTAGCATTATGTTTTTTAACCAAAAATTGTTCGTAATCGCAGGATTATGAACAATTTGAAGGATTATGAAGAGAGGATGAGCTATGGCCTAGCACTCTTCGGTTATTCACTTTATGGCGATTTAATTTTGTTTCCGTCTCGTAGACTGTCACTTCTACCAAACACAAATGACCTGAGAAACCGTAAATTTCCTTTTTTCGCTGAACAAATCTACAATCAAGGATTAAATTCGATTCTTAAGTTTAACTTTTAATGTAAAGTTTCTACGCATTTGCGAATAATTCATAATAATCATATAACATAATCGTGGAAACTTAGTTTCTTCTTCTCTTGTAGTATTATAGTTTCATTATGAGTTCTGATTAACACCGTCCACGGACACGCTGAATCACTGCGTTATTATTTGAGCAACAAATTCGATTTAAACTCTTCCCTGCGATTAATACTTCGCGATTTTCACCAATTCCAGTTAAAAGAGCACCCACCTCCACAAAAGTTTTCAAAACCTATTTTCTACTTAATATTTCAAAGGTCATATATTTTCTTGCACACGATTGCCTCATTCAGTACTATTCCTTCACTAGTTTTATCTAAGCATATTCTTTACTAGTTGTATTGCTTCCATGCGATTCATTCGGTCGCTGTAGTTGTAGACTTATTTTTCTACACATCGCAAGAGAAACGATGATGTGAATACAATATTTTTCACCAATCTTTACTTTTTGCTGCCCGAATCAAAAGCTATTTATATTGAAATATCATCAACTAGCATGAGAATCAGTGGCTCCACTAACCTGCTTGGGCGGGGTAATTTCACCACCAGCAGTGTTGCTGCACCAAAGGTAACAAGAGAATTAATTTTACAAGCAAGAGAATTAATTTCGCCCGTCAAATATCAGTTGACGCCCGTCAAATATCAAATATTCCCCCGTCAAATATCAAACATTCGCCTGTCAAATATCATTCGCCCGTCAAATATCAGTTGACGCCCGTCAAATATCAGTTGACGCCCGTCAAATATCTCAATATCACCACTGATATTGAGGAAGTATTCACAAAAATAACAATTTTATCTACTGACCGTAAAATTTTCACATTTTTTAATCTGAATAAGATTCTACTTCAAATGATATTCGTATAATATTACGCGGTGTTCCTTTGGTGCAGTTTGACAAAGAGTCAATTTTTTCAAATATCAATATATATTAGAATTTAGCTATGAAAATATGTACATTATTTAGCACTTTTAACGGCGTTTCATAATTTGTTCCTTCATTGATGCTTTTCTTAGCTAACTTGCGCTACTGCAGCTTCTAACTAACCACTAATTTATATCTGACTAACCTGCTCTCCTGCAGTTTCTAACTAACCACTAATATATCTCTGACTAACTTCTTCCTTTAATCTCGTGAACCTTCTCTGTCGTCTCGTTTAATCCACATTACTTTAGCTAACATAAGCTTTTTCCATTTACTCGAATGCCTTCAATCCACAATCCTATAGCGAATGTGATCTCTTTCCATTTATTCTAGCGCCTCTAATCCATAATACTATGTCCGACCTAATCTCTTCCAGTATATCTGAATGCATCTAATCCATTATGGAGCAAAATTTAAAATACTATTGAAATCATAATCGTTTCCTAAATATTCGAAGTCCTCTAATCCATAATACTTAAAATAACATTATAGTTTCCCATGTATTTACCTCAGCGGTGACGTCGAAACCTCGAGTTTGCTGGGCGCTGGCCAATTGGATTGACACTTCAATTAAAACTTTTTCCTGTCAATCTTCATAAAATTTGGTTTCTAAGATTAAAGAGATTTGTAATTCTGAGCTGAGCATAAAATATTAAAGCTCTCATCCCCAATTCAATTAGTCTGACCGATTATATTTTACGTATTGTACAGAATTTGTCAAAAGTTTCTCTCAGAGCAACCTATTGTAACTTTTCGGGAAAGGCTGAAATCTCGAACTATTTTTTCGTATAAAACTTCAACTTAGGCCTAACCATCCATTTTCGTCACATACGTTGCGGTATTAGATTAAAATTATGCTCACCTCAGCTGACCGCACCACCGTAAGGTAGGGTAGGGAATGTTGTTTTTTGATGAAAAACGGTTAGTTAACCACGTATATTACATGCGTGCAAGAAATTTGATGAATAATACGTTTGTAAGTCGGACCTCAGCGTCTCGAAAATATGTCATGCGCGGCTGTATACTCGACACCTAAAACACTTCTTCTATGACATGTGTACCATACCTATGAATCTTTCAATTGGCAGTTCCTTTTCTTCATTTGCGCAACATAAAAATATCAGCATAAATTTTAAACATGAATCAAACTTAAATAAACAGTTGTCATACGAAAATTTCCTAAGGAGATTCATTTTCGTACTTCTCCCTGTTCTCGGCTTGTATATGTTCAAGCTCTCTGATCTTCTCGGTTTGTTTCAACTCACGTCTTTCTAAATGGGCTTTAACATTAGCAATGCGAGAGCCGATCTTTTTAAAGTTAAGCGAGTCGCCGGCTTACGTTCAAAGGTAAGGCCTGTGAGCTGAACGAGAGAATAAACCTATTAAAATCCCTTAGACCATCCCTTAAGAATCGTGGACTAAATCAAATCAATAAAGATATAAGTCGACTAACCATCCAACAGCCCCAGTAGCAGCAGGAAGCTATGGCCCTTTTGGTTGCATTACATTCATTTTGCAGTAGCCCATGCTTGGTAATATTTCATCTGCCAAATATCTTTTTATTATATTTATTTTTGTGCATATTTTACAGTGGCTGCCCCACAAAGAGCGCTTCATATTTAATTAACAATTTTAGATTGACTTAAAAAGTTTTATAAATTCAATGGACGTTGGCGTTGTAAAATGTAAAGTTTGTAAACAGTGTTGATCACGACCAGTCTAGCACTGCAGCCATCATGTACGTGCACATAGCAGCATTAATGTATGTGCGTGTATCAGCATTCATGTACGTGCTTGTAACAGAAATCATGTACGTGCTTGTAACAACAATCATGCAACTTAGAAGCGACGAAAGCGTTTCTGCTGCTACAGGGCTATACTTACGTTGTAGTCACACACTGCTTCGATTCTAGATTTATTTTTTGTACATTATCAGACTTTTATAGTTTGTAAAGACTTTGTGAATCATCACGTGCTATTTTGCGGCATATTTGCATGATCAAAAATGTAGCACTGTTGTCTTGTGTGTCCTGTCATCGTGGTGTTTCATGTTTTCCTTGTCCCCATGTTTATATTGCTTGTGTTTCTATCATTGTAACTTTATACTGTTATTTTTTATTCTCATTTTGTATATAGTCTCTTCATGTGCCATAATCATTTCACGTCATCATCCTTTTTCCAAGCATGAAGATTTGCGTTTACATTTTAAACGAAATTCAATACATGGCGGCTGCATGACGTACATGATATGATATGATGTGATATGATATGATATGATATGATATGATATGATATGATATGATATGATATGATATGATATGATATGATGTATGACATGACACTACTAAAGACAATTTATTATAACGCTTATCAACCGATAGGAAATGACTGGCCGTTATGAGGGGAAACTCTCTTAATTTCGATGATCCCTCTTAGCCACTTTGTTACGGAGAGAAGAATGTCACTGTAGTTTTTCTCTGCATCCGCACTCAGAACAAGCTAAGAACGTTGTAACATTCTCAATAGCAATTCTGTAGAACAAGTACTGCAGCTGTCAGTTTCTGAAATCGGTTCATGATGAAGGATCAAATTCATAAATTTCTCTGACGACAGGTGACAGTTTCCATTCAATAGGTAATTTGGAAGACTACGCAAAAAAAAAACAATTGATATTCGGCAGTTCATAGCTTACAATTGAGATACTGTAATATTGCTCGTAATTTAATGGATAATTTTAATATCACCGAGAGGAACATCCCTTCTCTTATTAGCATTGCGGCGAAGTGAATCACATCATCTTGAATTACTCTCTTAGTTTACACTGCATGCAGCATCTAAGTTCAAATTAATGCTAAATGAGGTACAAAAAATTAAATTAATTTCAGTTAAATTAAGTGTCGGAGAACTTTACCTTCACTCTGAATTTTTGAGCAAGTAATCATGTTATTCGTCTTTAACCATTGGGTGTTGAATCTTTACCTTAATGTCCTTGTTTGCTCGTTATTTTCGATGGATATATTATGACGTTTTCGTCCCCCAATGTTCCCTGCTTCCCAATATTTATATAAAAGCTGAGTCAACCTCAAAAGAAAATACGAAATCCCTATTTTATTGTGTCTATTTTTTGTTTAAATGTGTATTACATTTTACACATAAACATTGCATACCTGTATGAGTTCATCTGTTTCCCGCTTCGAATTAAACTATTAAAACCCATGTTTACTCAACACAGACATTAAATATTGTATACATGGCCTTACATTGTTCCTCCGTTGCTTTATTTTTCTAGTTCGCTGCGTATGATGACAATAAAAACCTTGGACGATATTCAAATTCATAAGTCGCTTCCGTTTTGTTAACGACGCAAAAAAACAAAGTTGTTCGAAAGTAGGTATACATGACAGCCGACCTCCTGTGTGTAACTGAGCGTATGTATGTTACTGAGTTCATATGTATAACTGAGCTCAGGTATGATATATACTGAGTTCATAGATGTTACATCATGAATTCATATATGTTCTTGAGTTCATGTGTGTAACTGATCTCATGTGTGTTATATACTGAGTTCGTATATGTTTTTGAGCTCATATACGCTATTGAGTTCAAGTGTATGACTGATTAACGTGTGTAAAATAGCTCAAGTGTATAACTGAGCTCATTTATGTAAAGCTTCAGTGGCGACACTATCATTCATCAGTATTTTAATTTGTTCTGAATGCTTGCACAAGTTGTGTTTTTCATTACTTTTAACCATCCTGATTCTGTTTGGGGCTAATTTCATTATTTACATCTGATGCCAATCAAGATTGCAGTGGAAATTTAAATTTGAATCATCACGTATCCGTTAATTTATGTTAGATGTAAACTAATGTCATTATGTCATTTATTCTGAAATACATCAAGCGTATCCTTGTCTTTTATGTGGTTTACATCCTTTCAAAGCTCGGTTATTCCTAAAGAAACGGGTGAATATTTCTGAATTTACAGATTAATATAATTACTTGCATTTTACCTACAGTAGAATTCACATTATAAACATTTTGACAAAAATTTCTGTTGTTTTGAAATGAGCGCAGATACCGTTTCTTTAATTATAATCCTGCTTAGAAGGCTTGTAATGATTTTTATGCGAATTTCACTAGGACGTTTCTTTCATTCGTGAAACAATGGCGTTCTCGTTGTTGGGGGCTTCCAAAACCACCAACTTGTCTTTATGATTGCATAGGTTAAAGTTTACTGATGAATCATAGTTAATACATTTAATTTACAACAGCCTTTAATAAACGAATGTACATGATCGAATTGCTGAAACTTGAAATAATGAATAACCACTAATACGTCAAAACGTTAGTACGTTCCTTTTAACTTGATGCTTCGCGGATTCAAGTCTTGCGATTCAGTCCCAGCATTTGAGCTCCAATTTTAAGCTCATCGAACCTAAGCGTTCTGCACATTTCTACCGGCGAACTCCAAACTAAAATTACAAACAGAATTTAGAATAATAAATCATTTTTTAACGAATATTACGGCCTCACATTACATTAAAACTGAACAACGATTATTTTCCCTTATTTCGTATTTCTATGTTAATTCATAGACAGATTTATTCATTGGTGGATTAAATTGATTTAATCAATTGGTGGATTAAATTGATTTAATCCATCAATTTTTAAGCCTCAAACTGGAATACTCCTACACTGTTAGAAAAAAACGGTGAAAAAACGGTCCCACTGGCGTTCTAGTGGCCGGTCACCGTGGCCGGTTCTTTTCACGTGCCGACCGGCCACTGAAACGCCGGTAATACCGTTAACGGTAATTTTTCTAACAGTGAAACCGAAGAATATCACGATTTGTTTCCTTACACGGCAGTTCTCAATCATTGAATTCGAGGCGGAGACACTGCGTATCCTGCTCGACTATCTGCATACGGGATCCTGCCCCCTCACCTGCACTACAATTCCTGGCCTCATATGCGCCGCGGAGCACTACGACCTACCAGAACTGCTGCAGGCTTGCTTCCACCACGCCAAGCAGTTCCTCAGGATCGAAGTGGTAAACACTGCAGTGTTTAATAGGTTAAACTTATACTCCGCTTTGATATGAAGGCTTGTAGTTCAATAGTGTATATAACTTCTGAAGGTCTGGTTCCACCACGCCAAGCAGTTCCTCAGGATCGAAGTGGTAAACACTGCAGTGTTTAATAGGTTAAACTTATACTCCGCTTTTATATGAAGGCTTATAGTTCAATAGTGTATATAACTTCTGAAGGTCTGGTTCCATTACGCTAAGCAGTTCCTCAGAATCGAAGTGGTAAACCCTGCAGTGTTTAATAGGTTAAACTTATACTCCGCTTTGATATGAAGGCTTGTAGTTCAATAGTGTTGAGAACTGCTGCAGGCTTGCTTCCACCACGCCAAGCAGTTCCTCAGGATCGAAGTGGTAAACCCCTACGGTGTTCAATAGCTTTACCTTATACTCCGCTATAATATGAAGTCTTATAGTTCAATGGTGTATATAACTTCTGAAGGTTTGCTTCCACCATGCCAAACAGTTCCTCAGGATCGAAGTGGTAAACCCCTACAGTGTTTAATAGGTTCACCACGTCGTTCAGTAGTGTTGATAACTGCTGCAGGCTTGCTTCAACCACGCAAATCAGTTCCTCAGGAACCTATGTAAAACACCTGCAGTGTTTTACATAGGTTTACCATATCTTTCAATACAATCAGAGAAAGGAGGAAAACATTGTCTAGATATCGATCCAATTATTATGGTTATTTTGTGGGTCATCCAAGCTCAGTTTGGCTTGACAAACGGGCGTCCGCTCTCTGTTTGGTGCAGTCGGGGAGAAAGTATGGCCCAATTTGGAAATATGACATTTTCATTTTTTTCTGAGTGAAAAGTCCAATACCACGTGTCTAGTTCATTATTATGTAGTTTAATGCTCAATGTGTCATGCAATCGTTTACTTAATTTACTGTACCTGTCATTCAGTATTCTAATGGCTATCGGATAGTCTAATGGGACAGTTATAGGACCCTGTTTTATGTACTCGTACATATGTCTCGTGTTCATCAAGTAAATTCCGAACTGGACTTAATCACGGCTTATAATGCCAAATTAATATATGGCTGTTGAATGGATTTATTTCGTTGGTGGATGGCATCTAAATTCAGATTTCAGTATTCAGTAAATTCGCATTTTAAATTCAGAAAAATCGTTAATTCTATCGTGACCAGGCGCATGACAGTGGAGGCGAATCACGTTTATCTAATCAGGCTTGTAAGACCAGTAATTATATAAGTGATATAATGTGTTATCCTGCACATTTGTTTGCAGGTTTGCAACATGCTTAGCAGTCTGGAGAACTACTACTGGCGCTACACGTCTGAGAGTAACCAACTGCGTAGACTACACTAATACGGTTAATACCTCGTTATTCTCTGCAGGTATTCCAAACAGAGGAGTAACCAACTGCGTAGACTACTCTAATACCGTTATTTTTGTGCAGGTATTCTAAACAGAGTAGTTACAAACTGCGTAGACTACACTAATACGGTTAATACCTCGTTATTCTCTGCAGGTATTCCAAACAGAGGAGTAACCAACTGCGTAGACTACTCTTATACCTCGTTATTTTGTGCAGGTATTCCAAACAGAGGAGTTACTAATTGCGTAGCCTACTCTAATACGGTTAATACCTCGTTATTCTCTGCAGGTATTCCAAACAGAGGAGTTCTTGAGTCTGTCAGAGTCGATGGTGCAGATGATGATGGCCCGTAACTTGGAGGTGGCCGAGATAACCAAGTTCGAGGCGATGTTGACGTGGGCGAGGTATCGGGTCCGCTCTCGGGGCACCAACAAGATGGACTCGAGAGCAGAGTTCCGTGCCGTCATGGAACGACTTACAAGGGAACTCAAGCTTTACAGAATATCTCCTCAGGACTTGATAAAGGTTCGATTTACAAAATTCGATTTACATAATTTGATTTACAGAATATCTCATCAGGACTTGATAAAGGTTCGATTTACAGAACTCGATTTAAAGAATTCGATTTACAGAATATCTCATCAGGACTTGATAAAGGTTCGATTTACAGAACTCGATTTAAAGAATTCGATTTACGGAGTATCTCCTCAGGACTTGATAAAGGTTAAATAAAATCGCTAGTTTTCATTTGAAGTTCATGGAAAATATTTCCTTTGAACTTGATTGAGATTAGGCACAACCTCAGACTTAAATTTAGTGTACCGGCAAATTTTGATAGAGGTTTGCTACAATCGTATTTTCATGCTTGGCGCGTATGTTTGAAACATATGTTTCAAACAAGAACTCCCCTGGATTTTTGAAACATATGTTCCTAACATACATATGTTTGGAGTGTATGTCTTTCGCATACCTGGTTTGAGTGCAGAGTTGATGTCACAACAGGCATGTGATGTTTTGAGCATTGCAGCATGGAAGTCAACATGTGACCCTTAATCTCTGCTATAACTACTCTCTAAAATTGGAAGAATGTTTTCTAATCCTAAGAGATGAGTAGATCCAATTGATTATGGTCAAAGCCATGAACAATTGGGCCACAAAGAACTTTTTTGGTCTATAGGCTCTTTAGCCTTTAGCCACGTCACCTTATGTCACAAAAATTCAGATAAAAATGAGAATTAATTGGAATGTTTCTTCCTCTTTTTAGGGCTCCTGCCTAGAATCCTGTCTACCTCCCGTAGTATTGTCGGCGAGTTTGGAAAACGTTCATAAAGTTTTTTTTGAACGATATTGTCATCTGTATTGATAATGATAACGATTTACTGAGCAGACTGTGCTGCATAGTAAAGTTTGTGATGTTTATTATGTTTTATAATATAATATTACCATCTATATTGATAATAACAATGACTGAGCAGACTTTGCTGCCTAGTAAACTTTGTGATATTTATCATGTTTTGTTAATATAATATTAGTCTCTTANGTACTGATAATAACAATGACTGAGCAGACTGTGTTGCCGAGCAAGGCCATCAAGAACGAAAGGATCCTCGAGACGCTGATGTACCAAGCCAACTCAGGCATGTACCGCATCCACGACTCGTACCTACAAGCTTGTACCCGCGACCTGCATAAGCAGGAGTCTAAGTTCAGCGACTGGGAGTCTTTCGACTACGGCCTCTAACAATCAACCAGACTAGGGTGGTCAACAATTAAGAATCTTATAGGAACTAGCAAGTTGAAGAATTTTCTTCCTAATGATCAATTTGAAATGGACGATGTTGAGTGAGGTTTTTAATCTTTGAAGCGTTTTTGTGATTGAAGGTGATTTACAGAGGGGGGAGTGATCTCGCCTATGTTGAAACTACGTAGTGGTCACGGTGTTAGGTGTAGCGAAACGGCGCTTTGAGTTTCAACAATGTGCTTGTGGAAGAAAACGTAGTGCTATGAAAACTAAAATAAGAAGTGACATGAAATGTTGTTAAGTGAACTTAAATGGCCCGCAATGTCGTATTCTGGAACAGAAGTAGGAGATAGGAGTTGAGATCAAAGAATATGAGAATTATATGGGGCGAGAAGGCAGAAGAAGAAGAAGCGGTGATTGAACAGACGTAGAACGCTTTAACTTTAGCACGGATGAGGGGAATTATTCGTTTAAGCTAAATAATTGTCGTGTACTGTGCTTGATGCAAGTGGATGACACCATAACATCATGCCGAGTAATAAACTTTTTGGTTGTAAAGAAAACATATTAAAAACTGTTAGCTCTATTTTTGGAAATTATAATGCTTGAACGATGTTTCTGTGTGTGTTTGTGTGAATGTGTCGTTGGATTTCAAATGTTATAGATGCAGATAATTGTTATCTTAAAGTTGTGATAAGATAAAGTTTCTGTATGTCAAGCTAAACTAGATATTAAATAACCCTGAAATGATGAATGTGATTGTCGGTCTCGTTTTGTCACTCTTCGATCTTTCAATCTAGATTGGCCTCGTGTTGATCTGATCTCAAGATTTAGATTGATCGCATTTTGCACTGACCCAATGATCGAGGTAGATCACGTGTTGCACTGACCCACTGATCGAGATAGATCGCGTGTTGCACTGACCCAATGATCGAGGTAAATCACGTGTTGCACTGACCCAATGATCGAAATAGATCACGTGTTGCACTGACCCAATGATCGAGATAGATCACGTGTTGCACTGACCCAATGATCGAGATAGATCACGTGTTGCATTGACCCAATGATCGAGATGGATCACGTGTTGCACTGACCCAATGATCGAGATAGATTACGTGTTGCACTGACCCAATGATCGAGATAGATCACGTGTTGCACTGGCCCAATGATCGAGGTAGATCACGTGTTGCACTGACCCAATGATCAAGATAGATTACGTGTTGCACTGACCCAATGATCGAGATAGATCACGTGTTGCACTGACTAAATGATCGAGATAGATCACGTGTTGCACTGACCCAATGATTGAGATCGCAGGCGATTCGCACTGCCCCCGAAATTCCTAAACCTGTGGCAAGCCATAGCAGACACTCAGAGAAAGGAATGGATCTAATTGTCCAAATAGTGCAGCACGAGCAAATATTGGACCTGGGAGACTAAAATAAAATCATAATCAGACTTGAAAAATGTGGTGGTCCTAATTTTAAAGTTTCAGCTGCCTCATAAAACCATCGGTTCCCGTGTTCGGCGATCGGTAACTTGTTACTCCTTTGATATCCTTCGGGATTCCTGACTCGCCCAAACTATAGTTAGTTTAAGGTCTCCTAGTGCTCCGGTCTATTGTCAATCGCTATCTTTTTCCATTGCAACAACCGTAAATTTTTAAGAAAAAATTAGTTAAAGTACAACGTGAATCGGACGAACTCATCGCGGAAGCTATACTTTATTTTTGGGGTTCGTGGTATGAAAAGTATTAAATGGTTCGCAAAATCAATTTTAACCGTTGCGTCATGTAAGTTTCGAATTTCGTGCCGGATCTCAAAAGGGTTTTGATTAAATTATAGCGCGATTTTCTTCAGGACAAATCGTTATATGTGAAATAAAAATCATTTCGGGGACTTTGAAAAAATTTCTTCAATGTGCAACCAAATTACCTACCGACTTGCAGTGTGAAGGCGGAGGCTGACAAGCTCATTATTCTCGCTTTACTTTTTTACTTTAATTCCGGTAAAGCAGCTGGATTATTTTTCAATAGATCACGTGTTGCACTGACCCAATGATCGAGGTAGATCACGTGTTGCACTGACCCAATGATCGAGATAGATCACGTGTTGCATCGACCCAATGATCGAGATCGCAGGCGATTTGCACTGCTCCCGAAATTCCTAAACCGGTCGCACGCCATGGCAGGCACTCAGAGAAAGGAATGGGTCATAAGGTCCAAATAGTGACAGCACGAGTAAATATTTTACCTGGTTTCCTGGTCAAACTGGGTCAGGATGACCCGCACAAGGGTAAAATGTGCATTGTTATTTGAAAAGTGTCTCACTTTTTTCTCTGAGTGTATGCGCTTCCATGGTAACTATGCTGTGTACTTTTATTACTATTAGTAATAATAGTACTATCAGTATAGTAATACCATTTTAATTAGTACTGGTATTACTATTGTATTGCTCGTTGAGTACAGTAACGAGGAGGTCCTTGGAAGGGTGTAATTCTGTGTTCTATTGTTTGTCGTTAAAAGCGATTTTCCCGTATAACGTGAGTAACTATGGCCAGACTTGCTGGATTGGCATGATACTCATAGCGTTGAAAAGTGACGTGAAATTCGATAGCCGTTGCTTAGAGAAAATTTAAATTTAATGTTGAGGAATTGGTCACCGTAAGTCGGAAATGCGTAATGGTATAGGAGACAAAATAAAATCATGATCAAACTTGAAAAATGCAGTGATCCTGATTTTAAAGTTTCAGCTGCCTCGCAAAACCAGGTTCCCGTGTTCAGCGATCGGTAACTTGTTACTCCTTTGATATCCTTCGGGATTCCTGACTCGCCCAAACTATAGTTAGTTTAAGGTCTTCTAGTGCTCCGGTCCATTGTCAATCGCTATCTTTTTCCGTTGCAACAACTGTAAATTTCAAAGAAATTATTAATTCTATTAATTATAATTATTATATATTATTATATTATTATATATTATTATATATATTATATTATAATTATTAAATTCTATTAATAAATTAATAATTAAATTAAATTTAAATTCCACGCGAATCAGATAAACTCATCGCGGAAGCTATACTGTATTTTTGGGGTTCGTGGTATGAAACTTATTAAATGGTTTGCAAAATCAATCTTAACCGTTGCGCCATGTAAGCTTCGAATGTCGTGCCGGATCTCAAAAAGGTTTTGATTAAAATATTGCCCGTTTTTCTTCAGGACAAATCATTGTAGTGTAATAAAAATTATTTCGGGGACTTTGAAAAATTTCTTCAATGTGTAACCAAATTACCGACTTGCAGTGTGAAGGCGGAGGCTGACAAGCTCATTATTCTCGCTTTACTTTTTTACTTTAATTCCGGTAAAGCAGCTGGATTATTTTTCGAGCCCAGAACTTTAATGCAGTTATTATGGTGATTATGGATTTTGTGAGATAATATATACCTCCAGAATATATTGAATTGAAGTTATTTCTTTTGCGACTGCTCTATGGCTTTAAATTATCTTTGAATTATTGCCTTGACTTCATGTTAATGAGTTGACCCAGTCAGAAATTTCATTTCAATTATTCCTAACGCTAAATATTTTGTATCACAGAGGCCATCAAAATCGAATAATGGAGGCTTCTTCAGGCCATAAACAAACACCTGAATACCTATCAAATATATAGATATTAC